AAAACTTCACGAAAAAGAAAGAAAAAACGATTGGAGTAGCAACCGATACACTGTAGAAAAGATTGAAAAGAAATTGTGGCAAAATTACTACTATATTGATGGCATTGATAGACCGTATTTGCGGTTTGAGTTATCTAGAATATGATTGTGGAACTACTTTTTTTCATTCCGTCAACACCGAAGTCACAACAAACGCACGTTGACAAACCTGTAATTGACAATATATAGAATTGCGCAACATGCTTACAAGTTGCCAAGCTAGTGTTTAAGTCATGGTAGTCATTCCCTAGACCCTAAACCCTAAACCTGGGGGGGAGGAGGGGGGACGACACAGAACAGGGGAGTCGGCTGGTATCCTCCACAACAAGCCCAGCAACGCACCACCTGCCGCGAACCGCTCCCATTTAGGGGTTTAGGGTTTAGGGGTTTAGGGGTTTAGGGTTTAGGGTTTAGGGGTTTAGGGGTTTAGGGGTTTAGGGTTTAGGGTTTAGTAGGGTTTACCATCCGCTGCTTTCCTCATCCACTGTTGGCGTCACCTTGACATCGCTTTTCTTGCACTCGCGGATACTGAAACTTGCCTCTTGGTCGAATTCAGTGCAAACGTATTGCGATAGGCACTGTGAAACACTTTCTTGTGACAACCCTACCACATCACACAAGTTTTCCGAAAAGCCCCTGCAGGAGCATTTAGAGCACCAGGTAAAGACATCCCAACTTACATTTCTCCTGTCGACAAAAAAGCAAATAAGTGTGTTGCCTATAAGACTTAGAATTCTGGTGGAAGGGACTTGGTCGTGTGATGTACTAACAACCTGCGCCACATCTCAGGCATGTCAGATGTGCATAAGCCTCTTCGCGTCGGCTCCCACTCCGCCCAAATCTCCAGGCCTTGAGCCTACGTTTACTACGTTTAGGACTTTGGGCTTGGTCTGAGGTGCAGAAGTGCGGCATGAGGGGCATAAGGTTCAAAGCTCTTTTGATTTAGGTTTTCACGCAGGTTGCACGCAATGCGGTCGCATTCTGCTTGACATCTGGGTCACGACAGCGATTGTCCAACTAGCCTCCGGTAATCCTCAATGCCAAGCCTGTCTTATAGTAGCGAGGAGTGCTCCTTGCAAAATCCAGAACAACCCCCACGGTTCTGGAACTAAATGAACTTTGGGTAGGGGGCCGCTATGAAAGACAAAGCACGCTTCAGCGTCCTGCCAGGAATTCGTGGAATTTCTTCCTCCTGCAGGCGAGTCTTCTCCAAAAAAATGACATGCTCCTCTTGAGCCAACACTTCCACACAAACCCTTAGCCCTAATCACATCACTTGACTCACTTGACGAAAATCTCAGCACGAAAGATGAAATTGGAGTCCTCTCTGGCACTGTATCCGCTGGAACAATTCCAAAGTCGTCGTTGTACCAAGCAGCGAAGGCGGCGATTTGCGCTTGGGTGATGCCCACGGTCGTGGTAATGTGCTGTGGCAGCTGTGCTGGCGGGAATGCCGCTGGTCCTGGCACCGGTGGCACTGCCGGGAATGCGGCGGCAAATGCAGGAGGGACGGGGCCAAAGCCCACGTTCTCTTTCGCGACGAGTTGGAGCTGTTCACCTTCTCCACCTGTTGCAGATCGGAGCAAGGCAGCTGCATTTCTGGCGTAACGGCGATGGTTTGCCTGTGCTGCCAACAAGGGCGCATTTGCTGCCGCAACTGCTCCCGCAACGGCTCCCGCAAACCATGGCGGGGGCCCCGCTGCTCCTGCTGGCAGATGTGCCACTGCCGGTGCTGGCAGTAGTTGTGCCACTGCCGCAGCTTCACGAAAAACAGCATCTCCCAGCTCAGCATCTGTCACGTCCGGTGACAATGCCTCCAGCTTGCGCTTGCGTTTGTTCTCTTCAGCCACCGTCGCAATTGTGACTGCACCAGCTGCCACGGCTGGTCTCCCGATGCCCGGCATGCCAACGTTTGCTAGCGGTGCAGATGCTGGTATGCCTGCCATGGCTGCTACTTGCTGAACACGAGCCAAAGTGCAACTGATGAATGCCATCATGATCTGGCAGTCCATGCACCCTAGACGAATGGGTCAACCTACCTTTGCCTGTTTAGGTTGTCCTTCCTTAAAAACTCAGGGAGAAAGGAGGGTGGGATAACCTTTTTGACTGTCTACAAACTTTTGGGTGAGAAAGGAAAGCAGTTCCGAGTAGTTTGAAAACTCATCAATTTATCCAAATCCTTCTTTGCATAAAATTATCTTCCAAAACTCTCCGTCAGCAAACTCCTAAGGAAAGTGGAAGGCGATTCCAAGTACTAGGAAAACTCTATAAACTTTCTTCTTTCCTTCCCATCAATATCTTGTTCATCCAATTCCAAGCGCACAGCACAACACAGCCAAGAACGGAACGCAACCCCTCTTTTGCGGCGGAGTGGACATGCGCCTCCAAGGGGGGGGAAGCATTCGGCCAGGTAACGATTCCCGGGCTTGCGTACTTGCTCCCGCCACCCCCCCTGAGACAAAGGTTTGGAAAACCCAACTCCCCCTCTTCACCAAGGTGTGGGTGGGTGGGTAACCAAAAAACTGACGCTTAGTCCTGAATGGCTTCAACACTCATGTGATTCAATCTGAGCCTGGGAAGTACATGTGCTGAGACTGAAAACTGAACTGAAGCAAACATCTCTGGCACAGTCAAACTCAAACTGGAAAACTGAAAACTTACTTTTGAAGCTAAAGAGTTTTCTCCACTGTTCCCCACCCTCCCGTCCCACCCAAAAGTTTTTCAACAGTCCAACAGGGCGAGCCCAGTAGAGCCTGTCTACAAACTCATGGATTCGTCTGCAGAAGCCTCTGCGCGCAAAGGTCCTCTGCAGTTGCTGTCTCGTGGTCAAGGTGAAACATAAGAGTTCATTTATGGCATATGAGCCGAACGGTCTTATACGCTGGCTTGTCTCTCGGTGACAAACTGTACAATCAGAGCTATAGTAGGCTGGCGACGCCGTGGCGGTCGTAGCGCAGCGCTGCTGGTAATCTGAAACTTGGAGTTGAGCAGGCGAACTCCATGAGCGCTGCAACAAGTCCTAGGACAAGTTCGGCAACAAGGAAAATACCACTCAAAACAAGCCACCAGTGGGGCAAATTTCAGCCATGAGGGAAAAATTGCCCCACTCTACTTTCAGATGGTCTCTCCAGTACTGGGAGGAAATTCGGTATGACCAAATGCCAAAAACATTTTGCCAGCGCGTTTGGATAGGGAAAAACCCTACCTGGGAGGGCAGGTTTGTGAAAAGTGACGCCATTGGTTGCTGCATGCCGGAGCGTGCAGCAAACGAAGGAGTCACTTGTAGACCAAGTTGCTGGGTATTGCACGCGTCACGTCTCATACGCCAGCTTGTTCCTCGGTGAGAAACTGTACAATCAGGGCTGCTGGTAGGCGACGCCGTGGTAGTAGCAGCGCAGTGCTGCTGGTAATCTGAAACTTGGAATTAAGCAGGCGAGCTCCATGAGCGCTGCAACAAGTCCTAGGACAAGTTCGGCAACAAGGAAAATGCCACTCAAAACAAGGCACCAGTGGGGCAAATTTCAGCCATGAGGGAAAAATTGACCCACTCTACTTTCAGATGGTCTCTCCAGTACTGGGAGGAAATTCGGTATGACCAAATGCCAAAAAAAATTTGGACCAGCGCGTTTGGATAGGGAAAAACCCTACCTGGAAGGGCAGTTTTGTGAAAAGTGACGCCATTGGTTGCTGCATGCCGGAGCGTGCAGCAAACAAAGGAGTCACTTCTAGACAGATTGCGAGGTATTGCACGGGTCACAAGTCATGGTCGCAGAAGACCAGTGATCGGCCAATGAAATCCAATGACTCTAATGAACAAAAGCATCTACCTTGCCGAACTGACGAAGAAAATCCTTGAATGTTGAGGCTTCGCTGTGGGGGTCGCCATGCTTGCTTGCAGGTACTCATAGAAGCATAGCTACAGAACAAACGGCTACAATCGCTAGAATGTGCTGCCGGCTTTCTCCTCGCCCAGTGTAGGCAGGCTTGTCGTCTCCGATGTCCCAGATGTCCTTGTCAACAGCGTTTGCTAAATAAAAGCTTCGTTGGTCTCTCTCTCTCTCTCTGCCGAGTCTCGATTCTGCACATCTACAGTGCCTCTTGCTGGATGCGATTCCGCATGAGCTAAGCCTATAAATCCTTCTTGCTGGCAGACAATCGAACTCGCAGTAGACCGGCCCCCAAGCACACTTGATCTGAACTTCGTCAGACGGGCTGCAGTCCACCGAACCACCGGAGCGTTTTGTCTGCTCGCACACGTTTTTTGGAAGCTATGTCCGATGCACTCTGCTTACATGCCATGTTTTAGTGATACCGGCACCGACTGCTGATTGCCTGTTCCGACTCCAGTCTAGTGGCGGAGCTGCACCTTCTCATAGTCGAGCTGGCGACACGTAGGCCCCAGGCCTGCGACACAGGAGTTCCCGGCAGCAACCTGGTCCGCAAAATGGTTCCTTTGTGCCTTCATGAAATCTTCTTCCTCAACGACATAGTCGGTATCCCTGCGCTTTGTGATGGCGTTGGCGAAGATCTTGAGCACCTGGCGATCCCGCAACCCGAGCTGTACAGAGATGACTCCGGACCTCGCGCCGATCCTGGTTTGCTCGTTTGGCAGCGGAATCTCGATCTGGCACAAGAGCGCCAAACCGGAGCGGCTTCATTCTACTTCATGCTTCACGACGGAGAAGCACGGCTCCATGACTTGAGCGCTGGTGAAAAAGTTACTGGGCCCTTGCTGTCAGCTGCCCAGTCCTTCCTGTCCAAGCGCCCTGGCGGAAGAAGCGAAGGGGCAAGGGTATCCGGGCGATTTGTGCCGAGGCCTCTCCGAGCCTCACGACCTCCCGTCCCCAAGCCGACCGCTGGCCGAAGCCACAAACCCCAAAACAATTCGCAAGCTCAAAAAAACACAAACAAACTAAAAGCTCAAAAAACTCCTTAGTTTCAAGAATTCAAAAACGCACCCCGCATACGAAGCAAGCTCAAGAAACCCAAACCCCAGACGTGGGGTTCAAGTAAATTGAAGGGTCCTGAGCCCCAGAGACGAGGTTTATATAAATTGAAAAGTCATGGAGGCGGCTGGATGTAGGATTATGGCCCTTCTGTCCAAGATAAGACTCGGTCACTAGCAAGGACTAACCTTCGGACACTTTCAATGAGCCTTTCCACATTCCTTCTTTGCCACCCGCATAGCTGGCCGACCGGCTCAGCAGTGGCATGGCTAGTCACGTGTCCAACCACATCCGAAAAACTCAACCCATTCAGCTACATACTATCTTGCTTCAGACGTGAAAGAAACAAATAAACACAAACATCACACACCCAACCACCGCAAGGTATAGGAGCCTCCAAGATTGCCGGAATGCCCTTCCAACTTCCACGATCAACATATCAGATGCTTGCCCGTTGGGCAAATCATGATTCGGCTCTTGCGCCTGGGGTTTGGGGATTCAGGGTATACCTTTGTGGGCAGGCTTGTGGCCTTCAAGAATAGATGCAGATCCCATGGGGCAAGTCGTGCAGCTCTATCTCTTCCCGGAAACTCCGGGGAGGGTCGGCTTAGGCTTGCTAAACAGCTGCATGGAAGAGGTCGAAAAACTTGTGAAGACTCGACCTGCGGACCGAAGATACGTTCATGCGCACAGCGACTTTAAATCCACAACTCACTCGTTTGGCAGGGGCGAGTCAGAAGTCTCGCGGCAGAAGTGTGAACAAGCAGCGACACTTTGACCGCGGCTCTAATTACAGCGGAAAACCTGGGACCGCAAATCCTAGCGTGAAGCGGCTTGCAGACTGTTGATTGTCTTTGCGAAAGCTAGCAACAAATCAAAAGGCCTGCATGGCGCCCAAGGGGGCGTGCCGAACTTTTAAGCTGGATCACCGAGAGCCACTATGCTGCGCAAAGGTGGTTCATCACTCACGTCAAAGTTAACCCACGCTTACACCGCACACAGCAATTGGTCAGGCACAACGGGCAATATTGACACTGGTACCAACATCTTTCTGACCAGTTGCCTTAGACGGATTTCGGCGTTTGAGTGAACTTTCATGAAAAAACAATCCCTTGGTAAGCTGCTCACTGAGGTCGCCCCCTTTACCAACCTTCGTGAAGCCATCAGCTAACTGACATCTCGTCGCACCCACAGCAGCCTAGCTTTGCCGGGATTGTCACGATTTCTTGTCGTGAGCAGCTGTCTCAAAAGAACAGCGTGCACGATTTTCCCTTTCTCCCCCACGTGCTGGTCGTCCTTATGAATGGTATCGAAGATACTCTTGCAATCAGTGACCATCGTGGCCGGAGCTAACGACTGCCATCCAGCATCTTCGACCGCTGACATCACCTTACAACCGAACCTAGTCTCACTGAAAGAACCTGAGCAAACCGCGACATGTTGTGTCCCATAATCGCTGCATGGGTTTCCGCAGCGAAGGATGACTCAATGACTCTGCGATTCGTGGAGGACTTCCAATCGATCAAATTCATGTGCACATGACTCTCTTGATCAGTAGCCAGTAGCCCCTTTCTCACAAAGCCAATGCCAGCACCCTTTTGAGAATAAACAAGTCGTTTATCGCTAGGCCGTTGAAGAATGTCCTCGCATGGTTGCTCAGCGATTTCCACACCAACACTGCTATACAACCCTGCAACATGATACGACACCAGTTCCGCGTCGGCACAGAGTGGACGAAACTCAATCTCCAATCGAGTTCGAACCACCCCTCTCACTGCCTTATTGGCCCGAACAAGGTCAGCCACACGGAGATCGGCGATCCGTTTCTGCAACTGGTTGCACTCGAAAGCAATGTCAGGCCTCGACTTAACAGCTAGCCACTGGAGACTTCCTACGACCGATCTATAATCAGTCCGCTCGACCTCGTTCGCTCTCGCGTCCGGTTCGCGAATCCTTTCATTACTCAAAGCCATGGGCTGAAGTCTGCCGTCGATGAAAGCGTTCTGACTAAGGGTAACACACACCTCATCACCCTTTCGCCTAATCCTAATCTCCTTCCCACAACAAGTGACCTCGCTCTCTTGATCAGAAACTTTCAACCATGTGCCAAATGGAAATCTTTTGTGGACACGTTCGGCCACCTCTTGTCTCCACTTGGGTCCATCATGGCACAACATGACATCATCAACATGGACAATCATCATTCCCCGCCAGGTAGGTTGTTGATCGCGAAGCATGAACATAGCCGGGTCTACCATGCTCTTGACGAACCCAAGGTGCTGCTGAAGGATGCGGGAAAGCTCCTCGTACCACGCTCGTGGCGCGTCTGGTCTTCCGTACACAGGCTTAAGGAGCTTAATGAGTTGTCCAGGCTGCATTCCCTTCAATCCTTGTTTAGGCTGTCGCATGAACATGTCAGGTTGGTCTTTCAGAGGGGCACCCTGAAGAAAAGCATTAGAGATATCTCCAATATACCAGTTCTGCGACCACCCAAAACAGGTAACCAGATGCAAAAAGATCATGGTTGAAACTCGTTCAATCGTCGGAGAATCTACTTGGACCTGACCAGTTCTACTGTCTGGGCAAAGATGGCCCTGAATGCATAGCCTGGCCTTGGCCTTTACCGAAGAGGCGCGCCGTCCGGTCCAAGCAAACCCGCATTCTTGTCTCTAAATACGTATCGGCTCGAAAGAGTGCGTTCTGGGCGCTCATCATCCTCTTCAACTTAGTCTTGCTCTCTGTCTTCTTGAATGACACTGCGTGGACTTGGGCCTCTGCTTCATGATGTTTCTGACGCTTGACCCGGTACGGAACATCATCCAAACATATCTCCTTCCGAGTCCGGCTCTGGAAGATCGTGATCAGCGCGGCGGCGGGTCCTCCAGGAATGAACTGGTGGTGATCCTCCAGTTCAGCCCACTTGACTTCCTTTTCGAGACACGTCCACTGTCCTTGATGGCAGGCCGCTCTGGAAAGCCCAAACCTTATGGGAAATCAGAACAGGGATCCCATGTTGGTCCACATGCCATCCGACTTGAGGAACCATGTTTGCGTATTCGGCACTCAGCCCTTCAGTCTCCATAGGATCGTCATGCATCTCGAGGTCCTCGGTCAAATCTTGACCAAGGGGCTGTTGCTCAACATCTCCCGGCTCTCCCTCAGGCCCATTCTGACCCAGAAGATCCTGATAAGTAGCCTCGGATGGAACCTTCCTGAAGAGAGCTATAGCTGTAGCTTTCTGAATTTCCGGATTTCCGAAATGTTTATCTCATCTCCAACGGCTTCCCTGAGGTGCTCCCCGGCAACAAGAATACACCTACCACCAATGGCCACCCACGCATTCGTGTCTTGCAGCCCAACCACATACCCAGAACCGTGCCATGAACTGTGGTTGTCTCCGCGCGTGCCTCTCGCTTCTCTCCAAAAGAAGACAAGTTGCCCTATCTTAGGAATGGGAATCTTCCGAGTTCGATTGTGAGCAGTCCTAACGAGCATCTGGCGGGCCTGGCTTCGAACAAACTCCATCTTAGCATGATAGCGACATCTCATCATAACCGCCACATCGTTTTCTCCTACTGAAGGATGCTACCCAGCCGGATTCCCGTTTTGATGGAGCTCTCCAAAGACCCTGGGCTCACGTCCGAAAACCAAAGCAACAGGGGCCCATCCATGTTCGCGGACTAGGTTCTTAGCCCAGCTCACCTCACGCGGCAAACGTCGCATCTCTTCCCTACCCACAGCATGTGTCTGACGAACGACGTTAAAGATCATATCCTTCACGACCTGATTGTGCTTGAGGTCCTCGAGGTCGAGACTTTCGGTAGCCAGCCAACCAAGCTTGGCCGCTCAGCTTCTCCGTCAGCTTCTGGGCCCTGTACGAGGAATCGATCCCCGTCGAACTTTCAAACAGCTGTCCTGTCGCTGATCACCTGGCCAGTTGGACCACCAACTAGTATTGTTAGCTTGAGGTCTCTCCCATTGGCCGGGCCACCAACCTTGACTATTCCACGTAGGACTACTGCCACTGCCATGCCAAGACCATCCATGCCATTGCCACCTGCCTTGCCACTGATCATCGTAGCTCCGAGCATCAGAGCCAGCACCGCCGTCGCTTGAGGGTGCCATAGCCGAGGCACCTGCATGCTGCTGCATCCCTGCTCCGCCTGCCAATGCGAAAGCTGGCAACAAATCAAAAGGCCTGCATGGCGCCCAGGGGGCGCGCCGAACTTTTTAGCTGCATCACCGAGAGCCGCTATGCTGCGCAAAGGTGGTTCATCACTGACGTCAAAGTTAACCCACGCTTACACCGCACACAGCAACTGGTCAGGCACAACGGGCAATATTGACAGTCTTGGCCATGTCTCTCCTCTAGCACATTTTGCAAGTGCCCCATCCCCAAAATATCCCCTGCCTGCTTCTAGATGGTCGGCACAAGCAGGCCCTTGCAGCCAACACAGGGACAAAACCAGGATTATCGCGCGCCGTGGCCTTGCTTGTGTCGAGTCCCCGTGATGCTCGACCTTGAAACAAATCGACACGGTGCTTGAGATGCTTTGATTCCGTCTCGCACGCAACACTCAACAGCAAACTGAAAAATCTACGTCTCTGGCATGTTGCCCCTATGTGCACGCAACGGATTTTGGTAGCTGCAAAGACGTTTTTCAAGTGAAACTCATCGCATGCTCGACTATGATTCAGCATCACCAGGCGATGTCCATCATGGGCTAATGGGCAAATGGGCAGGCTGTCAGCGTCCGCGTCCCGAGCTCGGTGAGCTTCTTGTAAGCCGCTGCGAAGTCCCTGCGAAGGGCGTGGTTGTCGTCGCTGCCTGTGTCATCAACTGCGTACTCCTCGAGTGTTTGCCGGAAGACTGGGTCCCACAACAATACCATGTCGGCGACAAGCATCATCTGGTTAGGGTCATCTAGACCTGATCCCCCCTCCGCTGGAGGGAACTTGTTCACATACTGCCGCTTGCCTGGTGCCGGTCGAAGCTCTTGGGCACCAATGCTGTCAAGCCAGGTATCACTGTGAGAAACCATTCGCCAAGGATCTTCGATCATGTCTGCAGCATACTCGTTCGACCATTTCGTCATTTCCTCTACCCATGGCCCTGCATAGCCAGAGTGCTCTGGGTGGCAGCGGCCCCAGAGGTGACCACCAGTCATGAGTGCGACGATCTCGCGGTCGTTGAAGCCCATACGGTAAAACACGTCGCGCATGTGCTGCGCAAGGTTCTCCCAACCCAAGATCCTGCCCTCACTGTCAAGAACCTTGTCTCTGTCGAACCCCTCAACAAGACCATACTCTGCATGCGGAAGGCGGCTTGATGCTTTGCCATCAATCACTGGGCCATCCCACTCTGGGCAGCCATTCTGACTGGGAGTGTCCACGCGCCCTGGCTTGAACTCGATCGATGGGCCACCCATGTGCTCGATGGCGACGTATGCTGCAAGAATCCACATGTCAGAGTACGACATCAGCGGATACTTATCTTTGATCGGCTGGAGGTAGTTGATCGCATGGTCCAGACCTGCGTTTTCTGGATCCTTGGACTCAGTGCCATGCACGAAACGCATGGCCGCACCTTCTGAGCCTCCAGTGTTGGTGTACTTTGAGTAGGTGCCCGACGAGTGCCATGCAAGTCGGATGAGCAGTGGACCATAGCTTCCATCATCCCAATTCGGATCATCCATCAGATGCTTGAGGTCGGCACGCACGGCGTTGTAGTCAATCTTTGCTGCAGGTGGGGTTCCAGAGCCCTCAATATTCTGCAAATCAATGTGGAAGATGCTGCCATTGTCGAACTGGATGGCGAATGCATTGCCAAGGACTGGTCCGACGACGACGCCCTGCGAGCCAGCCATGGCTGGTGGTCCGTTGAGGGTAACCCGCTGTCCAGGCTGGAAGAGCAACTCCTTTGTTCCAGTCGCGCGACAGGCTGTCTGTCCTCTTCGAAGGACCACATTTGGTCGAGGGGCGACGAAAGTCTGTGGCTGGAAAATTGAGGTAAGCAGCCAGGCGACAACGCCGAGAACACCAGCGGAGAGCAGCGCAGAACGACGCGCCATGTCTATAAGGGTTGACTGTCGAAAGATCTAGGGGCCCTAGTTCGTCCTCTCCTCCGCTTGGGGTAAGTATCCAAGTTCGATGCTCCAGAGACGGGGAGGTGGTGCTAGTGCAGATTGCAGTGCAGCCATATTCACGTGGGAGGTTGGACGTGCGAGAGACACCGTCAAACCCGTGGACAAGCCCTACACCGGACCCCCAAAAAGCAAACACAACGTATCCTTGCTGTGTTCCCGGCCGAATCACAGTCAGAGCTTACCACGGAAGTTCGCGATCCTGGCCCAGCAGTCTCTTTATGTATCTTTGCAACCCAGTTTGACCAAAGCTGGCAGAAGCAGCAGCAGCAGCAGCAAAGGCTGCTCACGGTGCGGCTGACGGAGTTTAGCAGCCTGAATCCGAAGGGAGCGAACATGGTTGCGTCTTCTTATTTGGTGTTTCCCCTGCACCGAGCCAGAATTATGAAATAACTGTTCGGGCAAGTGGCTGCCGGCGTGCCTGCTGCACTGGGTCGAAAAGCTTTCAGCCCCATTGGTCCTGACTCCGTGTCATCTGCTGCACATGCTGACAAGCAGGCAAGCAACGTCTCAATATCCATCTTGAGCCGAGCGTTCCTCTTCCTGAGCTGAGCGGCGCATCTTTGACGGCAAGCCTCAAGGAACAAACGAACAGGTGGAATGCTACTCTTCCGACTAACCAATGAGTGGTGATGTTGCCGACGCTGCGGCAGCAAGCCGGACCGAGACTTGTTAAATCCTGGCAGCTATACATGCTTGTAGACAAGAGACGACAACGCTGAGGGTGCGCACCAGGAACGTTGCAGCCGAGACGCGCACACCGCGACTTTTCAGCTGCGAGCCGACAGCTCACCGGCACCTCGACTGCATGGTGCGCCGTCGTAGAGCTAACTCACCATGATTGAAACATCTGCTGATATCGTGAGGCCTGCCAGGATTAGCTGCCCACACGGATGAAAATGCTTTGCTGCATCATCGCCATTCAAATCACTCTAGCTGATCCTCCCTGCAAGCAAAACTCAAGCGTCACAACCGGACCGAGGGTGGCTGGGCTGTACTGTAGGATGCCGTGCAAGCTCTGCGACCGTGACTGGCCTGGTAATCTCTGTCGCTTTTCGGGTTATTTCTGCCAACCTGCATGAACGTTTTCTCGCCGAAACCCCCAATCTCCATGTCACACTTATGGTGTTTGTCCTTCCACCAACCTCCGTCCGTGTCATGCTAAACCCGACGGCCTGAACCACCACGCCCCCGCTCCCCCCAGCCCGACTTCAGAACCTTCAGAAGTTGACGCAAGTCTTTGACCCTTTTTGCGCTCAAGCCGAGATCGTCTGTGCCTTGATGCGAGACCGCTGAAGATACATGTGATCTGGATTCTTGGCCAGTGCACGTTGGCACGGGCAGACGAAATCTATCGGTACCCGACAGTTCCGGGTCGAAGTGCCCGCCGAGCCCCCTCAACGGACTCGCCTGCAGCGCCGCCGGCAGCGCTGACGCACCTGCTTCTTGATGCGGTCAGACATGTCCCAAGCCTGCACGCCACCCAAGCTGAAATGGTCCGCGTCGAAGAGATGGTACGCCGATCGCTTGGAGAGCTGGTAGTCCCAGGATGCAGCTAGCCTCTGGCCAAATGCACAAAAACACGAGCCCGAAGGGCCTTATGAGGCCCCAGTGGGGCAACGAACTCGAGCTCCAACGTGTCAAGGCGATAAAACGGATGGGCCAACGATTGAGCGAGGCTGCGGGGCACAGAGGTGAGGCTCTCAGCGGTTAGGAGCTCAAGGGATGCAAAGTCCAAACAACGTGGGTCGATGGCCACCAAGCCCCGGACATCCAGGCCACAGGTGCAAAGTTGAAGAGCAACGCTGCGTGCCACGGTGACGCCGAAGCTGTGCCCACAAAGGATCAGTTCAGGGTTCGCCCTGCTCAGGATGAGCTGCCCTCAAGGCCGCGAGGAGTGGTTTGCACGGCAATCCGTTCTGAAGCGACTCCTCCACCGAAGCGAACATCTCAAAGCACCCAAGCTGGAACTGGCCCAAACCGAAGTAGGATGAGGCCGGGCCGGCCAGGCGGGCACCGCCTCCAAACAGCATTATCGAAGTCATTCGCGAGTTCTGGAACCTTCGGCAGAGCATGGCGGAGCCTCCGGCGGGGCGCACTAGCAGTGCTTGGGACCTTGAGACAGGCCGCACTCATGGTGCCGTCCGCACAGAAGCTTGGTGCATTGGATCTCTTTCGCTGAGGTCGGAAAGGAATTGGGAAGGATTCTGGCCAGTTCTAGCAAGAAATCAGGCCGGTAAGATGTTCTTGTAACAGTGCCGAGGCAAACATGACGTGGAGGAGCGATGTGGAAGCAGCAAGTGAAGCCTGCACTGGCCGGGTTGAACACAAGCTTGGCCATTGCCTTTGCAGCCACTCCCGAAACCTCAAGAAATTGAGAGCAGTTTGGGGAGTGTGATGCTCAAGCACAAGCACACTCACACCACAGTCCGGAGGGAGAATTTCGCTGGCGGAGACGAGGCTCACCCTGCAGAGGCTGAGACGGTTGGGGGCTAAGTAAAGCTGAAGGAGCTTTCTGATAGATCTAACTGCTCAAAGGAGAGGAGATCTAGCCCCCGTGTGCTTCCTGAGACGGGGTTTTGAGGACTGCACAAGA